CAGCCCGCCCTAGCGCCGCGAGGCCCGGCCCGGGCAGCGCAGCGGCCGCCGCGGGCCCGCCGCGCCCATCGCGGCTCCCGAGCCGCCCGCACGCCCCGCGCCGGCGCTTTGTTCCGCACGCCCGCCCCCGCCGCCGCGGCCTGCGCCTTTAAGAGGGGACCATGCCCGGCGCGCGGCGGCTCGGGCGCGAGGCGGCGGCAGCTCCTCCCGCTCGCGCGCGGAGGCGCGGGACCGGCAAGACCGCGACGGCAGTGGCAGCCGCGTCTGGACCCCCGTCCCGCCCCGCCCGCGTCCCCCGGCTGGCTCGGCTCGGCTCGCGTGGCGCCTGCCCCCGTCCTCTTCGTGGCCGGCGCCGCCGCCGCAGCTGCACATCCTCCGGCTTAGCTCGCCATTGCAACAGGAGCCCCTCACGTCACGCACAGCGCGTTATGAAGTGGCCCCGCCGGCGGCGCGTCGTGGCCCCTCTCGGGATCCGTCCGCGCCGCGCGATTGGCGCAAAAGTGAATGAGGGGCGGTTCACGTGGCCAAAGTTTGACCAAAAAAAAAATCCTCTCGGGCGCCCCGCCCGCGCGGTCTGCAATGGGGGCGGCCGGGCGGAGGGGGCGTGGGCTCCGGCTCGGCGCCCGCGGGGCCCGAGCTGCCCGTTATCTGCGCCCGGCGCCCGGCGCGAGGGCGGCCGGTTCCTGCACCGCGGCGCCGCGGCGCGAATCTCAGCAGCCAGCCTTACAGCGGGGGCTCCTCGGCCCGCAGACTCCACGCCGCGCACGTTCGCCCAGCACAGACCGTCCTCGCTGCACCCCGCGGCCACGCCCTTCCTGCCGCCGGGCCGGCCTCCCGCTCCCGGCCCGCGCTCCCGACCACACTGCAGCTTTGTCCGCCGTCCCGCGGCGGCCGCACGCAGGGATCAGCGGTCCCGGAGCCCTGGGGACGAGCGCGCCTGCGAGTGGACCGTGAATTCAGTTACCTTGTTCCCTGTCTCTAGTTTCTACGCAAAATAAGAAAAAAAAAAAGGCATCTTTAATATTTAAGGTCTACGCTTCTCATACAGTACTAGCATTTAATGGATTTTTTTAGACGTGGAAAATGATGTTAATGCGCTGCATGGTAAACCTTACTTTTATTTGCATACTGTGTGGGCAGATAGCCGGCTAGTACCCCTAGCCTGGGACTTTGTCAGTATTTTAATATAGTCTATCTGCAAAAGTGCCGTGGATTTCTAAAGACAGATTTTGGGTCCCAGATCCTCTGGATTTTAAGGTTTTTTTTTTTTCTTTTAAACTTCATCCCTGGGCGCAAACGGATTTTAAGTTTTATACATTTTCCTCCGCAATACTTCAGCTGAGGCAACAAAAGCAGAGGTATCCATGTAACAAAAGCTTGTGTAGAGTTTGTCTTGTTACTTAGTCACCAGTATATTGGGGGTTTCTAATGAAACTTTCGAAGGACAAAGTATTTCCCTGGGCCTGAGAAGTTGTCTTCATTTAATCAAACAAACACAGGAATTAGGACAGAAAGCAAGCATGCTTGGGGCAATCCTTGGACCTTTTCTTCATTGTTGACCAAATGGCTGAAGTAGTATCACGCAGTTTAAATTACTGAGCTGTGGGAGCTTCAGATAGGCACCTGAATGGTGGTCACTCTTGTTTATTCTTTGGATAGTACCACTTTCTTTGACACTTGTGATTTATGTTAAAAATAGTTCATTACCCACCTTCCCACAGACTCCCTCCCTAAGAGGTGATCCACATCTAAAAATAAAATACTCATTATGCCGTGAATACAGGATTCCAGCAGTGGTCTTGGGAAAAATACAGAACATACAACCATGAATTACAGGCTCGAAAACCATCGAAAGAGGTTTCCAGTAAGACATAAACCACAAATGCTGAGGAGTCACCAGATCCCCCACATTCAGCAGCAGCCCCATCATTCACAGTGATTTACATAAAGCACAAATCTGGCAAAATGCAGATGTTCAATTTTGTCGCATATTCAATGATTTCATTATTTTCTAACCTGCTTTAGACTTACCTAGTTTTCTTCTAAACTAGAATCCAATGAAAAGCATATAAATATGTGATGGGGATGATATTTTGAGGATGCCAAATATTTTGTCCTCCTCAGTATCCTGGTTCCTAGTTGTCCCTTATTTCCTAGGTCAACAGCCTCACCTGTCTCACCTGCAGGCTCAGTGGGGCTCTTTCATAATGTGGAAAGGATACCCTTTTCTTCGTAAAGGTGAGCCTGAAGGCTTACAGTTTCCTGGAGGAGAGTAACACATAAGGGGAGCCCCTCTGGGAAAAGAGGGGAATGCCAGGCCAAGGGAGGGTTGGAAGAAGAAGAGAGAAACTGAGGTCCTGTAGAAGTCTGCCAGGGCAAGGGACCAATTTTGGCTTGCACCCTAGGAGCAGGGGAGGGAAGCTTCTGCACAGCTTGACGGAGCAGCTGGGTTGTTGAGCTGAGGCCGTTCTCCTGGGGAGGAATCCAAAAGCGTCCCAGCAGGGGGCCTGGATCAGGAGACAGGGCTATCCTAAGTGGGAATTTCACAGCCAGTAGCAAATACCTGGAATCAAGAAGTTCGGTGATAGCCAGAGGCCTAAACAGCTGCACAGGACTGTGCCCCAGTATGAAGGCCTGTCCAAAGCACACCCCGACTAGTCAATACCAGCAAGGAGCCGGGGAGGACAAGGAGGGTGTGGAACATCTGCCCCCAGTGCACACACATGCTTCCTTCCCCGAAGCTCCCGGGGGCCAAGACTGCTCCTCATCCTACATAGCCCCCCTCACCCTAATTTATTTTTAAAAGTAAGGAGAAGGCAGGGTGAATCAAAGTTATAGGCATTTGACTGCAGCGAGCTGAGGAGACTTTTCATGATTCTGAGTTTCTTGATTTCACTGTGCTATGGTCCTTCTCTGTTGAGGAAGTCATTGATCATTTTTCTCATCATAAGAGAAGGGGA